CATCATCATTATCATTTTCATTGCCGTTATTATTATTGTTATTATTATCATCATCGTTATTATTATCGTTATCATCATTAACTTCATTATCATTATTACTATCATTTTCATTATTATTTTCATTACTATTATCATTATAATTTGCATTATAGATTATCATTATCATTATAATTTGCATTATAGATTATCATTATCATTATTATTGTTTTGTTATTATCATCATTGTTATCATTGTTATTGTTGCTATTATCATCAATATTATCATCATTATTGTTAATGTTATATTATTCATATAATCATCATTATCCTTATTGTTATTATTATAATCAATATCATTATTATTATCATCACTCTTATCATCATTGTCATTATCATATTCATTATTATTATTATTGTTATTTATTATTATTATTATTCTAATTATGTTATCATTACTATCAGTATTAGTTTCAATATTAGTATTACCATCATTATCATTATTTCTATTACTATCATTGTTGTTATTAGGTTATCATTATTATTAGTAGTATAATCATCATTATCTTAATCTTTATCATTATTGTTATTATCATTAGTATTATTATTATCATTATTATTATTATCATTATCATTATTATTGTTACTGTTGTTGCTGTTATTGTTATCATTACTATTATTATTGCCACCATCATCATTATCATTACTGTTATTATCATCATCGTTATTATCATGATCATTGTTATCATTTTAATTATTATCATTATCATAATATACGTTTCAGGATAGAAATTATTACTTGAAATAGTAAAAAAGGACACATACAATAAGCACACAAACACACGCACACGCACTCACCCTCTCCCATAATAGACAAACGGTAAAAAAAATGATAAAAATGAAAAAAAGAAAAAACAGTTGTGAGTTATGAAATGTATGCAAAATAATGGACAAAGAAAAGTCTAAACCACATCGTAAGGCATTATGAAGAAAGTACATAAAATCACTGTTATATTTTTTTATCATTTCTTTCTTACGTGTTACATTCATATCATTTTAGTAACCACCGACATGTGCCAAAATACCATTGTTCGTGGCCATTATCATTGTCATAATGTATATGTGACATATATGACACCACACGCCATGTCCTTATTGATGATTACCATGATCAGGATTGGTTTTATTGTTATTTATAGGATTATTATCATCGACGTCGCTTTTGTTGTCGAGTAAGTGCAGTCCACAAAAGGCTTCGTCACTGTGCATGACTTATATACGACCTAATTAAAGTGTATGAATTATTGATATGAATTGCTTTCTTAAAAGCGTCTTCAGGTCTTATGCTTTATGGTGGCAAAACAACCACAAAAAACTGGTTTGTTTCCACCAGTCACCACTCAGTTAGCAACAGCGTGTGGGATCCAAGAATGGGGTTGTATACTTGGTATTACTGTGGGCATTTCGGCGTTGGTGGGCTAAGGGGTGAGGCTCGTCCAAGCGATCCATTTCCAGGCGATCGATTCATTCAACTTCTGCCGGGGAGGGTTTTCGAGTCGGCTGTTGAGATGCGAGTTTACTTCTCCGTTCGTGCAAAATGGGTCACATATTCCCCTCTCAAGACCTCCTCTGGGTTCGCGTAGTACGTACAAAGCCAGTCACGACTCACATACGACTTAGCCAGCTACGAGCGTGTCCTCAGCGGCTGTCGCCATCTGTGGAAGGGGAAGCAGCTTTCAAGGCGACATACGAGGGAGATGATTCTTCTCGGAAAATGTGCGTACGTAATATGGCGCCGGCCTGGTGTGCCAGCCTGGCGTCGCCGGAGCACGTTCCAATGACTCCGCCTTCCCCGTTTTTATTTTCTCTCTCTCTCCCTTTGCTTCGTTCTGTTTTCGTTCTGAGTTTGTAGGGATTAGGTTCAAGAGCATCTGCTTCTAAAACGCCTCCGTTGTCTTCGGATTTGTTTAGATAAGACAGGCGCTTTGGTTCGCCGTCGAAAACGTAACCTGGTAACTGCTTACGCGTCGCCGGTACGAGGGTATATAAATAAGGCGCTGCCCTGAGCTGTTAGTGGAAGCCTGCGGTTTACCCTGAGACGAGGCCGTGAAAGACCTCTCGGTTCTGGCAGAAACACGAGGGTGTTGACGAGAGAGAGAGACTCAGAGATCCTCCGCTCAGCCGTGTGCTGGCGGCCCGTTTAGACATACTTTTCGTAGGACTTTGGTGCATCGCGCGACTTTCCGATCAACTTCACTAACACTTAATAGTTCGTCGAGAATCACTCGTTCGACATAACGACTCAACAACCATGCGTTGCGCTAACAAGACGGCATTCCGCCTTGGGATGTCAGTGTACTTCATTCTGATACTGACTACGGGCGCCCTCGGTATCAGAAGGCATCGCAGCGCCCACAGACTCGCGCCCAAGCCCAACATCGACGACCTGTTGCAGAGGCTCGACAACACGCTACAGGAACAGAGGAAGAGACTAGAGAGAGGACTTCCCACCATCGCCTATCGAGTGAGTGTTCCTTGGCTAGTGTTTGTTACGTTGGGCTTTGCCTTCTCGTGGGAGTTCTCGGAGGGGGAGGGGGAGAGAGGAGAGAGAGAAAAAAAATAGGGAGAATGAAAAGAGAAAATAAAATAGAAAATGAAAGAGACAGAGGGAGGGTGAGAGAGAGTGAGAGAGAGAGGGGGGAGGAGGAGATTGAGAGAGAGGAAGAGAGGAGAGAGAGAGAAAAGAGAGAGGAGAAAGAGAAGAAGAGAGGAGAAAAGAGAGATTGAAAAGAAAGAGAAAGAAAAGAGAGAAAGAGAGAGAGAGAGAAAAGAGACTAAGAGAGAGAGAGAAAGAGAGATTGAGAGAGAGAAAAGGAGAGAAGAGGGAGGAGAGGGAGAGAGAGAGAGTGAAAGAAAGAGTGAGAGGAAGGAAGTAAGAGAGAAGAAAAAGAGTGAAGAGAAGGAAGAGAGAGAGAGAAGAGAGAGAGGAGCGAGAAAGAGAGAGAAGAGAGAGAAAGAGTGAGAAGGAAGAGAGAGAAAAAGAGAGGAGAGGGAAAGAGAGAGAGAAAGAGAGGGAGAGAGAGGAAGAGAGAGAGAGAAGAGAGAGAGAGAGAGAGAGAGAGAGAAGAGAGAGCGATTGAAGAGAGAGAGAGAGATAGAGAGAGAGAGAGAATAAAGGAGAGGAGATTGAAAGGAGAGAGAGAGACGAGAGAGAGATAGAGAGGAAGAGGGAGAGAGAAGTGAGTGAGAGAGATAAAGAGGAGAGAGAGAGATGAGTGACTGTGAGAGAGATAGAGAGGAGAGGAGAGAGAGAGAGTGAGTGAGAGAGTGTGAATGAGAGAGAGTGAGTGAGAGAGAGGAGAGTGAGTGAGAGAGAGTGGTGAGTGAGTGAGAGTGAGTGAGATGTGGAGTGAGTGAGTGAGTGAGAGTGAGGAGAGGAGAGGAGGAGAGAGAGAGAGAGAGAGAGAGAGAGAAGAGGAGAGAGAGGAGAGAGAGAGAGATAAGGAGAGAGGAGAGGGATAGATAGAAAGAGAGAGGAGAGAGGGAATACAGAGAGAGAGAAAATGGAAGAGAGGAGAGGGAGAGAGGAAGAGCAATAAAAAAAAAGACAGACAGACAGACAGAGACCGACAGGAGTGAGATCAGATAGAAGGCAAAAAACATTTAAAGCAGTCACCCCCAAGAACAGAAATTTCGAACCTACGTTCCTATCCTTCGAGATACAAGTGATATATCAGATTTAGAAGACTAGCCTGGGTTACCCCCACCCCCCTACCTCCCCTCCCTGTCTCCCAATCCCTGTTATCTCTCTTTTTTTCTGGAGTGTTACAAATTTGTTAAAATATTTCTCTTTCTTTTCCTTCTTTCTTTCTTTGTTTTTTGGAATGTTTCTCGTCTCTGTTTATCTGTCTCTTTATGTCTGTCCTCTGACTCTCTCTTATTTTTTGTCCTTTCTCTTTCGCCCATCTCGCTCTCTCTCTTCTCCTCTCTCTCTCCCTATCTCTCTCTTCTCTCTTCTCTCCTCTCCTCTCTCTTCTCTCTCTCCTCTCTCTCATCTCTTCGTCCTCTCTCCTCTCCTCTCTGCTCTCTCTTCTCTCTCCTCTCTCTCTCTCTCTCTCCCCTCATTCTCCCTTCATCCCTCTCTCCTTCCCTTCCTCCTCTCTCCTTCCCTTCCTCCTCTCTCCTCTTCCCTTCCTCCGTTTCCTTCTCTCCATAAATAAACGTTTTTTCCTTCCTCTCTTCCTTCCTCCTTCCCCTGTGCTAGAACACGATAACCCACAGTTCCCACTTTCTCTCTTCCTTCTCTCGACCAGCCAATTACCCGAGCTTTCAACACGTCTTCGACAGTTTTTATCTGCGCCTTCATGAACTGTCGCCACGTGATTCGAATTATGAGAGACGCAGCGACCCAGCAGAATTGAGATCAACAAGAATATGCTTGATGATTTTTGTTGGAGTTGATGGGCGGTTCTGATGGGCGTGGGGTGAGCTTGTGGGGTGAGGGTGGTTTGATGGGCGGGCATGATTTGGTGGGCGTGGTGATCTGGCGGGTACGGGCGGTTTGATGGGCGCGGGTGTGATCTATCAGATAGAAATGACTACTTGAGCCGCCCGTGCTATATAATAAATAACCAATTCCTCCATTATTGATAGGCCTATGGAGCCCCCCCCCCCTTGCTTCTCTATCAGATGAGATATACCGACGAGTCCTAAGAATTCTCCTCCCCCCCCCCCCCCCAGAAATTCTTTACCACCATCCCTCCACCCACCCTCCCACCTCCTCACCAAATATAATAGGTTTAACTTTTGTTGAACAGTAGATGCAGTATTTTTCAACTTTTTTCCTCCTTTTTTTCGTTTTTCCTTCTCGATATTGGCAGGTAAGCTACGCGCTCAGTTAGATAACCAGTTGCAAGCTCTCGACAAAAAGCAAAAAAATTCGCTTTTTTTCTTTCTTTCTTTTTTTTTTTTTCCGGTTTTCCTTTGGTTTGATTACGAAGTTTCTGGCCTCTCCGCGGGCGGTGGATAACCTCAGATTGGCAAAGATCACAGAGAAAGTGCGTTTCGCAAAAGAGGATGAAAAAAGAAATGTCTTTAGGCCCTCTGAAGTTGATTATACGTACACGCGTACACACACACCACGCGCGCGCGCGCGTGATATATATTTATGTGTGTAAAGCAGGAAACAGCCACAATTAGAAATTAAATTGAATGTAACTTTTTACATTTACGATTCAATTTAATTTCTTATTGTGTCTGTTTCCTTTTTTTCTCTCTATACACGTTATTGTTCATTCGTGTGTGGCTGTTAGTTGTTAGTTTGTCTGTGCGTGTTTGTAGATATGTTTGGGTGTATGTGCGTTTGTGTGTTTTTCGTGTACGTGTCCGTGTGTGCGCTTGTGCGCTTGTGCTTTTGTGTGCGTGCGTCCGTCACATCCTAAAAGCTTTCCGCGGAGCTTCATTACCGTCTCCGCAGCACCATTATTCCCTCGGGAGATTCTGCGATAGTTTCCCCGATCGACCCCAGGCGACCCCGAGGGTACCTGCGCCCGAAAATCCGTGCTGGACCGCGATAACGAGGTCGGAGTCGAACTGGCCGGTTTAACGAGGCAATTATCGCACACGAGATGTTAAGCTGACCCCCCCCCCTCCCTCCTCTTGGTCTCTTTTCCTCCTTTCCTCGTTTTCTCCTTCTACTCTCTCTGGCTCTTTCTTTCCCTTCTTTCCCTCTACCTAGGTCCCTGTCTCTCCTTCCTCTCTTCCCTCACTCCTTCTTGGTCCTCCTACCTTCTCTCTTCCGCCTTCCTCCTTCATCCCAATTCCCCATTTCTGTTCCTCCCTCCCTCTCCACTCTCCCTAGCTCCCCACCACTCCTCCCTCCCTCCTCTCCTCTCTCTCCTCCCCTTCTCCCCTCCCCTTCTCCTTCTCTCCCTTTCCTCCCTCTCTTTTCCTTCTTCCTTTCTCCTCTTCCTCCTCCTACCTCTCCCTCTTCCTTTCCTCTATCCCCCACCCCAATTTCCCCCCCCCATTCCTAGGACCCCATTCTACCCCCTTCTCCCTTCCCTTTATCTATGCCCCTTCCCTCCTCCCTCTACCCATTTCTCCCCCACCCCACCCCCACCCCTCCCTCCCCTCGCGCGTGTTATAATTGTCACTCCTGATCGCTTTCTGTCCCTAGTGATTAGACCGAGGGGGAAAGGGGGAGGGGGAGAGGGAGATAGAGGAGGAGAAGAGGCGAGGATGAGGAGAGGGAAAGAAAGAAGAGAAGAGGGGGATGGAGAAAAGAGAGAAGAGAAGAAGAGGGGATCTGGGGAGAGGGGTTAGAAGGCGAAGGAAGAGGGAAGAGAGAGGGTAAAGAGGGGGATGAGAAGGGAGAAAGAGAGAAGTGGGAAGGAGAGAGAGAGGACAGACAGACAGACAGAGAAGAGAGAGTTAGAGACAGAGTCAGAGACAGAAACAGAGAAAGAGAGAACAGAGAGAGAGAGAGAGAGAAGAGAGGTGTGACCGATAAAACTTCCAATAAAAATAGACCGTCAGTGAGCGACCGTCCCTCATTAAAATAACTTCCCACACTTCATCCTCTGCCGACCATCCACACCCGAACCTCGTCAACAACAACAGCAACAACAAAAACACGATTTATAAGTCCTCTACGCGACACTTACCGCCTCTTTTTATCATTTTTTCCCCGGTTTTATATCTCAGGACTTGCTACCCTAGGATGTAGGTAGGAGCTCCCTCCCCTCCCTCCCCTCCCCTCTCCTCTACTCTACTCCCTCCCTTCCCTCCCCTCCCCTCCCCTCCCTTCCCTCTCCTCCCTCCCCCTCCTCTCCCTCCCATGTTCAGTTTATCTTCGTTCCGTTCCTTTATTTTCTTTTCTTTCCCTTTTCCACTTTCTCTATGCCTTCTTTCTTTTCTCTTTTTCCCTTTCTTCTTCTCATGTTTATACCCCTTTTTATCTTATCCTTCCCCCTTCCTCTTCTCTTTTGCTTCCTCCTCTCATTTCCTCTTCACATACTCCCCTATCCAATTATTTCTTTCCTTTTCCCTTCTTTTTCACCTACCTACTCCTTCCTCTATCAGTTTTTTTTTCTTCTAGTTCCCTTTTCTCTAACAGCTCTTTGTTCTCCCTTCCTCTTTCTTTCCCTCTCCCTCTTCCTCTCTCCGTCTCCCTCTCTCTTTTCTTCTCCTCTTCCCTCCCACTTCCTCCCATTCCCCACATATCTTTCCCTCTTCGCTCCCTCCCCCTTTCCCCTATCCCCCTCCCTCTTCCTTCCATCACCCCCTTCCTTCCCTTACCCCCCTATGGACACCCCCCCCCTCCCTCCAAATGCGTTTCTTTCGAGCTTCGAAAAATGTGTCGAGAAAACAAGGCTTCTATTTATTTCCAGTCTATCGAGAATATATCTTATCTATCTACCCATTGTTTATGTACAGTATGATTTATTGTCTATTTTCTATCTATCGATAATAAATCTTATCTATCTATTGTTTATGTAGATTATGATTTATTGTCTATTTAGA